GGGATTCAATTGGGAATCTCACAAATCTACAAGTTGGTATTCAGAGCTACAAGATAAAGCTGCTGAGCTGTCATCACTAGGGTTTACCATTGTTTGGCTACCTCCACCTACAGAATCTATCTCCCCTCAAGGCTACATGCCCAAGGATCTTTATAATTTGAACTCCAGGTATATATATGTATACTTTCAAAACATTTTTGTTAAAAAAGAAGAGGTTTAAATTTAATTACTTTTTAGTCACATAATTTTGATGGATTGATCAGGTATGGAAATGTTGAGGAATTAAAGTCTCTTGTGAATAAATTCCATGAAGTTGGTATCAGAGCTTTAGGTGATGCTGTTATAAATCATCGTTGTGCTCATTCCCAGAATCAAAACGGTGTTTGGAATATTTTTGGTGGGCGTTTGGATTGGGATGATAGTGCAGTTGTTGGTGATGATCCTCATTTCCAGGTACTATAAAATATAAATACTTTTAGTAGTTTTTGTGTATTATCTTTAAATCTTGAAATTTACATTATCTTTTTGTAATAATTTGAACTTGTAGGGTCGAGGAAACAAGAGCAGTGGAGATAATTTCCATGCTGCTCCAAACATTGATCATTCACAAGAGTTTGTAAGGAAAGATCTTAAAGAATGGTTATGTTGGCTGAGGTTAGTTAGTGTTTTTTTTTTTATTTTTTTTTTTTAAAGGTTTTGTTTTTGTAAGTGTTTAATGAATGTTGATATTTACAGGAAGGAAATAGGGTATGATGGATGGAGGCTTGATTTTGTGAGGGGGTTTTGGGGAGGTTATGTAAAAGATTACATGGATGCAAGTGAACCCTATTTTGCAGTTGGAGAATATTGGGATTCTTTAAATTATACATATGGTGAAATGGATTACAATCAAGATAGCCATAGACAAAGGATTGTTGATTGGATTAATGCCACTAATGGAACTGCTGGAGCCTTTGATGTCACTACAAAAGGAATTCTCCATTCCGTATGTATTTTCATTTTCATCATATAATACTATTTATATAATATACCATAACATTTATACAAATATAGGCACTTGAAAAATGTGAATATTGGAGATTATCGGATTCCAAAGGAAAACCGCCAGGTGTCGTTGGGTGGTGGCCATCTCGTGCTGTTACCTTTATAGAAAATCATGACACGGGTTCTACACAGGTATCGATTGTAAATAAATTATGGAAAATAAAAATGTACTTTTTTTTTTTTTTTTAGCAATATGAGTAATATATTATATGTTGATGTTTTTTGTAAAAGGGTCATTGGAGATTTCCAGGTGGAAAGGAGATGCAAGGGTATGCATACATCTTGACTCATCCTGGAACACCATCGGTTTTCTATGATCATATTTTCTCTCACTACAACTCCCAAATATCTACACTCATCTCTATCAGGAATCGCAACAAAATTCATTGTCGTAGCATGGTTAGTATCATAATATTTGTTGTTTGGGATGACAGGAATGGAATGGTTGATTCCATTGGAATGAATAAAAAAGAACTGTTTGTTTTTGTTTTGTTATGCCTGGTGGAATGGAATGGAATGGACCATTCTTGTTATATTTTACATTTCATTATGAAATGGAATGAAGATTTGGAGTATAACATATGTTTGTGATGTAGGTTGAAATTAGCAAGGCAGAAGGAGATGTTTATGCAGCAATTATTAATGAAAAAGTAGCAATGAAGATTGGACCAGGCCACTTTGAACCACAGCAATCTGGGCCCCACCAATGGCGTTTGGCTGCTGAAGGCAATGATTACAAAGTCTGGGAAGCTTTATAAACTCATGGTTATTAATATGTAAACACGTGTTTTTGCTTAAGTATATAGAACATATGTGACAAAAAGATGAAGGAGATTCTGGGTGTAGGACACTAGTGTTGTTGCAAGAAAGGAGAATTATGTGTTTATACATTTCTATATAGTAATAATTGTAGTTACTTATCTAGTGGTCAACACATGTTCTAGATTTATGGTATGTTCAATCCATTAAAGATTTTAGTTTGGTTTGGGATACTTTGTGACATCCCCAAATTTATGGTAATTCCTTCGAATTTTTGTTATGTGGATTTTGGGATACTTTGTGATATCCCCAAATTCATGGTAGTTTTAAAAAAATTATTTATGTTTGTTTAAAAATCAAAGGATTCTTTTTGAAAAGTAGTATTGCGGAATTTGTTTCCAGAAAAAACATGATAAATATATTATCAAAGTATTTCCGAAGAAATGTATTTTATTTGTATTAAAAGATTGGGATGTCATCGTCAATACCGAAATATAAACATAAATAGACTTTACATTCATTTACACTAATGATTTACATTTCCTTTAACCTTTCATTGTAATGTATCTTTACATCGATACCTGTGATACAAATAAGCTGAGTAGGTCAGGTTGGAAAACCTGGTAAGTACATAGGGATTTCAATCCCACAATGTTATATCAAATATATATTTTAGAACTCGTAATATACAATTTCACCTCATATAAACAATTTTACCCTACCCTGTCGATCCTCACAACGATAGGATCTATACTTCCGGATCTAAAATTAACAACTTTACCTTATCCATACTCCTCGATCATGTATGTCTTAATCCTTGCTCTCCGATCAATGACAAATGACTATGTTCACTCCATACTTTCGGATCAGGGACAAATGACTATGTCTAATCCATGCTCTCGGATTAATGACAAATAACTACGTCCTCCCATACTCTCGGACTAAAGACGAATGACTATGTCTAATCCATTCTCTCTAAAGACGAATGACTGTGTCTAATCCATTCTCTCGGATCAGTGACAAATTTTAAAGTTTGACTCTCCGTGTATATTTCACCCGTACTCAGAAGGAGATACTACCTGATATTCATCCTAATTAATTTAGGTTTATTTTGTATCCTAAATCATCATGTATTATCATATATATATGCTCTTAACACGTAGTTCAGGAAATAACAAATATTTCACACACAAACATATATTTAATACTTTAATCATTACTTGTATTAAAATCATGTTCATGAAAGCGACTATGCATTTACTTGTTAAATTGATGACTCCAAACTCGGGCAGTGTTTCGCTTCTAACAATTTCGACGAAACCTAGTATCATAACCACTAGATTCTAGTCTAATATTTATTGCGACTAGTTATTAGTCTAGATTTACGAGCAATATTGTTTTATAAGTGTTGAACAATACTTTTCAACTACTATGTAAAGACAGGGGCCAAACATGAAACACCAGAGGGCAATACCATTTTGGCCTAACAAATATTATAATAACACTTTATATTTTATAATACTTAGCGTATATATTGTTTATAAGTTCATAATAACGATAATGAACTTAAACATAAGCTATACTTAAAGCACGATAACCATAACTTTACTTACACGTGGTTTAGTTAGAAACCAGGCTTTGCACGGGCAGAACTTCGCCACTGAATCTTTCTAAAAAGATTATTGTAGCGCTTCAACGCTCACCTTACTATATTAAAATTACATAAAGAGAAGTCGAATCACGAAGGATCGAAATGCTCCCGAAAGGGGGGGGGGGGGATAAGAAGAGAAAGACTTTTAAATCAAGAGAATGGTGCAAGAATTATGAAAACCTAAAACCTCTTATTTATTTATAGTAATTGAATTTTCAAAAATTACACTCTATAGTTACTTAATGATATTATAGTTATTTAAACGACTATACACCACTTTATAATACTATTTTAAGTAGATTTAACGATATTTGTACGAAACTAATGTCGAAAGTACTCAACATTAGTCTTATAATGATCGCATCGTCGATACTTTTCTAATGATATATATATATATATATATATATATATATATATATATATACACACACACATATATATATTTTATTTTAATACGTAAATATGTTACTATAAATTATAATTTGCTCATATGAACTCTGTTTTAGACGATCTTTATATCCACATGTAGTTATCGACAGTATCTATAACTTTCGTTTTCGGCTAGTTTTGACTTTATTTTTGGTCCATATTTTTATAAAGTTAAATGATTTTGCTAAAATCATAATTCTTTCGTACGAACTCCGTTTTTGACATTTTTTTCTCAACATTTTTATTTTAAAGAGTACTACGATTTTCTTTTTGATGGTTTTAGCTAAAAGTCAATTATTCTCTTCGCAGATTTTTGACATTCTTTTTCTCAACATTCTTATTTTAAAGAGTACTACGACTTTCTTTTTGGTGGTTTTAGCTAAAAGTCAACTATTCTCTTCGCAGATTTTTACGTCATACATTCGTTGTGCGTGACTGACTTATATATATCTTATAAAAACCATATCTAATTCATACGGAGTCAGATTTCTACGAAATTTTATATTTTCGGGATCGAAAAGACGTGTACTTTCTAAATATATAATAATATTTATATGTTTTGGCGCACTTATTTTTACGATTTACAGATGATTCGACTGATTTTTTTCTATTTTATTATATTATAATAATGATGAAACACATAATATTCATATAATTCTTCTTTATACCGTCAAATAGGTTACAATTGTTGATCCTAACTATTACTTTGGTTAAAATTATTTATCTTAGATAATATTCACTCATGGAGAGTAAAGAGGTAATTTGATCTATCTCTACTTTCAATATTGCTTTGATACCGTGTGAAACAGAGAGCTATATTTCTAATGTTTAGTATATACATATTCTGGACAAGAAGCCTTATTCATACACAAGGTTACATGGAAAAATACGAAACAATCCTATAACACGAAAAAGATGTATAACTACAAAATAAAATATAAGATATAGGAGAATCAATATGAATCAAACTCATACTTATCTTTGCATGAAGCTTTCAATATATTTTGGGGCTTGGCAATTGGCACTGTATAAATTAATCAAACCACATTTTTAAAATTCGATTAGAAATCATATAAAAACATATAATATTTTATATTAAAAAACATATACTTTATGCAACCCAAACACCCCCCTTAGATTAAACCGCACCGCATAAATCATTGTTTTCAAGTATGTATGGTAAAAACTTGTTGCAACATTTCGTGTACCAATAATAAACTTAAAAATTACGAACAAAAAACCCTATTAAATCTAACTTAGTTATCTATAACTATACAAAAAGTTGTCGAATGGATGTTTGTATGATAACAATTGAAAATTTTCTAATTCTATATTCGGCAACAAAGAAAATTGGTAATATAAGCCAAATGCCACGTCGAATTAATATATTGACAAACTTCTCCATGAAGGTTATTCTTGTTTATATTCCGATGCTTGGATCTTTGTTAGGTTGCAATGGTTCTTTGCTTGGTTCTTTGTTTGGTTGCAACGGTTCATTGCTTGGCCCTTTGTTTGGCAACAACGGTTCTTTGCTTGGATCTCTTAGATGCTTTCTGGAAGGTTTTTCACCTTGCAAAGACCTTTACAATAATTACAATAATCATCAGATATAATGTCAAGATGAATATATAATCAATAAAATATCATGCCATGCATGCAAGATTAACCTACACAAATGATGATCATCATGGGTATATTCTCCTAAAATATTGACACTAAAATGAAAATCTAACCACCCTCCATGTACAAAAATCTTAACTAGGTGTTATTTCTTTAACGAGATATAACATTACTATCAGATTATATGCAAAGCAACTGTGCGAAATAAAAAAGACAGTTTTACCCACTGGGTAACTTCTATGGCGAACGTTTTGGTAACTTCCTCAGGATCTGGCTCATACGATCTCATGGCCTCGATCACAGCTTTGTTTGCTCGCTCTTTCAAAAAATCGTCAAGTTCTCCAATGCGCATTGGATTTTGATCTTTTCCTGCCTGGATAAATGGGATAATAATCAAAAAGCACATGATGATGGAAAGAACACAAACACGGGTAAGTGGACTCATTTTGGGCAATCTTTTTTTGTTTCTTCTTGTTTGTATTTTGGTTTTTTATGAAATCCTCTTACATTGTTATTTTGTGGATCGGTAATTTTCAAGTAACAATGATAATTGGTTTTATATAAACCCCATAAATATATGGAGATAAGGACTTTTAGGCGAGAAGAGTTGGGGAGGTAAGAGGTTTATATTTTTTGATGGAAAGAAGGTAAATTTAAACATAAAATAGCTTCTTGTGCACCAAATTGACGCACAAGTAAATATTGGTTTTTGATGGTGCGACACCTTTGCTTAGTGTTCATGATTTACAAGATTGATTTGAAAGTAGACAAGGATTTAATTATTTTTACCTAAATATTATTATTATTTTATTAAATAAAATCTACTATTTGATCGTATAGTAACTTTTTCTTAAAAACTTAATAGTGCATAAAAAGAATAAACTTAAGTACATATAAACCTTGTGGCTCCAAAATATGTTGTTCACTTATGTATCTATATTCTTAGATCTCTAGCTCCTTAGGCCACAGGGATTGGGTGTGGGCCGGTAGAAGCTTTGACACATCCCCACCTCGACTCGGCACACACCGTGCAACAAACTAGCCATGTCGAGTTCGGTGGCTTAACTCGGTATGTTTCTGCCAAGCTATCTTCTTTCTCACCCATACATCTTTTCTTCCTCTCATCTTCTTTCTTCCATTCCCTCAGTTTGACATTATGTTCGGCAAAATAAGGTAGAGGTGTAGAAGGCCGTGATGAAGCTCGGTTGGGCCGACACCACTCCCCTTAGTCTTATTACAGTTTTTTCTTTTAATAAATTCAAGCATTTTGAATATACATCTAAAATAACAAAATAGTGATTGTATGGAATCCACCTAGAGCCTACCCATTTAATTAAATACTACTAAAAAAAGTTACTTTTAAGCCACACTTTGTGGAGTCATTGCTCAACCTCGGGCAGAGGTGCACAAACATCAAACATCGGTCTTAATTGGTTCTAGTTAAAAAAAAAAATCGGTTTCTATAAGATTCGGTGTTGGTTTAGTTTTTCTTCGGGTTTTTTATAGTGTAATTTTGTTAAAAAAATCAATTTTTTTTCCATTTTATAACCAGCTCGGTTCAATTTAAAAAAAAAATAAATAAATAAAATAAAATAAAATAAAATAAAATAAAATAAAAAAAATTCTTAATTTGTTTTTTATAAAAATCAGTTCCAAACCGATAGTTCAATTCAAACCGGTTCCAATTTTCTTCATCCTCTTCTCAAAAAAACCATTTTGTGTTGTAAGTGCACCTGGTAGAACAACCAAACCATACCCATTTTGGTTTTAGCCATAATTAAGAAATGATTTGAGTAGGGTGTTTTTTCCCTAGATTTTCGTCATCTTGGTAGCTAAATATGTTTTCCGGATACGATTATCTTGATATTAGCTAGATAGATAGCTACAAAAAACATAACATAAATGACGTAGTAATAAGTAACAACAAACGGCTTTTAGTTTGAGTTTTCTTTATTTTTATTATTATTATTTTTTTGCTTAAAGTCGAGCTGAGTTTTTTTCTATATTTACAGACGTGGATTTTTATAAATGATATCGTTGCATGCTTATCTTTTATTTGAGGATGTGTTCTGATTTTTTACACATCCTTTACCCACCACTAATTAATTCGACATCAACAAATTTAGTTGGCTTTAAAGAGAAACAGAAAGAGCCTATCTTCCTAATTTTAGTAACGCAGTTTGACCCTACATTTTCTCTTGGCATATATTCATCTCTCAAGACATATTTTATGGTAGTCCGTATACTCATCGCATATAAATGAATATTCAGTTTGACCGATCAACATTTTACAAGATGCCATGAAGGCGAATCACTGTGGTTCGGTTTCCCCAGTGGTTCCCTTATGCAACTCTATGCCTTTCTTCTTCTTGGCTTTTGTCCTCATTGTCCCAACCGTTGTAGCGGGGACAATGAAGAAAAATATAGGTATTGGACATTTAGACAGCTTCATTAAAGAGCAGGTTCAAAACGCAACCAAGACCGCCATAAATGCATATAATCCTGACCCTGAATCGGTGGTCAACAATTTCAACAAACTAGTCCACGAGTGAGTAGTCATGGTGTCTAACAATCGAGATCCTTGTATAATTTTAACTAATGTGTTGAATCTTGAATGCATAGGTCTTTAGAAGGAGCAAATTCTACAAGAAGGAACCTAAAGGGCAAGAAATGCATGGCTACAAACCCGATAGATAGATGTTGGAGGTGCAATAAGAATTGGGCAAACAACCGGCAGGATTTAGCAAAATGTGTGCGTGGATTTGGAGAGCATACCACAGGCGGCATGGGTGGCCGCTACTATGTGGTGACGGATTCCTCCGATCATGACGTTTTGACTCCAAAGAAAGGAACCCTTCGGTATGGAGTCATCCAGGATAAACCGCTTTGGATTATCTTTGAAAGACCTATGGTTATTACCCTTAAAGAAGAACTTATGATAAACCACGACAAGACAATCGATGGTAGAGGGGTTATTGTCCACATTGCTTATGGCGCGGGGCTCACCATTCAATTTGTTCATAATGTCATCATTCATGGGATCCGAATCCACCATATTGTGTCTAAAAATGGTGGGTATATTAGGGATTCCTTAGCTCACTTCGGATTAAGAACGGTTAGTGATGGCGATGGTATCTCCATTTTTGGTGCTAGCAAGGTGTGGATCGATCATGTCTCACTCGATCACTGCGCCGACGGTCTAATTGACGCCATCATGGCTAGCACCGCTTTAACCATCTCCAACTGCAAATTCAACTATCACAACGACGTAACATACTTTCTCTTTCTTTTTAATTTAATGGACTTAATGGGGACAACACCTAATCCTATAAGCTATATATGAGTGATTTTACCTGAATTAATGCATAAATAACAAATTAATAGAGAAAGTCATGGAAATGAAGCTTTCTCCGTTAAGTTCCAAACTTTTACACATTTTCCATGTGACTTTCCATATGTGTTGGTATTTTCTTGAATATTTTTTAAAACATCATGATCTCGACAACACTTAAGGGGAAAGAAAAAAAGAACAAGCCTAAAGAAAAAAGAACAAGGCTTGTGGCATGTACTCATGTATATATAATGTATCATACAAAATATATATAGGTGATGTTGTTGGGGGCGGACGATAATTTTACTGGAGACGAGATTATGCAAGTCACAGTCGCATTCAACAGATTTGGTAAAGGATTGGTTCAAAGGATGCCTAGATGTCGTTGGGGATTCTTTCACGTTGTAAACAACGATTACAACAAATGGGAAATGTACGCTATAGGTGGAAGCATGAACCCTACTATTGTTAGTCAAGGCAACAGATTTAGGGCATCCGATAATGTCCATGCAAAGGAGGTATTATACATTTCCTTGTATATATTTTTGTTTTTATGATAGTTTTCACCTTTTTCTAGTAATTAATATGATTTTCATTATTTTTTAGGTTACACATCGGGATCACTTTCCCCAAAAAGTGTGGAAACATTGGAGGTGGCGAACAGTGAATGACCTTTTCCTTAATGGAGCCTTTTTTGTACCATCAGGCGACCATTCAGAAGTAGCACATAAACTGAGAAACTATATGGTTCAAGCAAAGGACGGGTCATGTGTGGGTAGGCTCACCCGTTATGCAGGGATGCTCAAGTGTACGGCCGGTAGACCATGCTAACACAGACAAATAGACGTTTGGCAAGAATTCAAAGTTTCATACATCTATAAATAGCTTATGTTTTCTTCCCAAAAAATGTAAATTATTCTTTCCAAAGTTTTATTGTTTAAATTCTTATTTGTAGTTTTTTGGAGGATCAAAATGTTACAATATTGAATAGAAATGTAAATTCTATAGATCCATGCTTTTTTTTTGTGTGTGTGTATCCTTTGATATTGATATTTTTATTTTGGGTAAGTCTTGGTGACATTAATTAGGCTAGCTAAAGCCTAAAGGTACACTAGTACAAAAATGACCTACATACACACCATAAAAGTGTGAACATATGTGTATAGTGACATTTTATTTTTTCACTGAAAGTGTGACAGAAGGTGACGTCATCGTATAAGTCTTATGGTCACTTTAAAATATAGTGTCTGTATGATATGAAAACATGTGACCATATTATAAAAGTGTGGCAACCGGGTATGAAATTTTGTTCCTAAAATCAATCATTTTTTCCAATATTGCGGAGTTAAACTGTCAGCAGACATATTTTTAGTAATTGTAGTAACTGTATATCACCAAATGACAACATACATGTTGTTTCAATGTGATGTTTTGCTAGTAAATTGTCACACAATTCAAAGTTTATTAAGATTATTGGGTATATTTTGCAGACATACAATTACGATGAACATGACCATGTTCACTAAATGGTCAGATGTAATTAATTTCATAAGTGACGATTTGTTAATAATTAGCCACAAAAACAAAATTTTATTGTGACTATTGTCTATCGTATAGACACACAAAATTAAGTGAAACATGATCATAAGTATTATAAAGACACGCATTCTATTAAATTTTGGATTTTATATTAGCTTAAGGCCATATTTGTATTGTTTATCATGACTAATGCTATCATTTAGACATATAAAAAGTTGTAACTATGACTATTTTATATCCTTTCGACATAGAAAATCATGTAAAAAAATGACCGAAATTTATTTATAGAAACAATAGTGTTTGTAATTGTGATCAATATTCAAACCAATACACTTTATGACCATAACCATGTGTTTTAAATATGAACGCTTTTATCATTTAGACACTAAAAAATTGTTGAGGGTGACTATTGTTTGTAATATAGTCACATGCATATAGTTAAACCATATGTGTATGTAACGACCTAATTTTACAAAGAAAAATTTTCATTTTTGATTATCCAAACACATTTCCATACATTAAGAAATCAAGTTATAATTGTTTTCAAAACATAAGTCAAATACAACTTTTATTCCAAACATCAGAGTGTCCCGTGAAAACGTCTGAGAGAGAGTGCACGTCGCGTCATCACGCCTTGCCCTTGCCCTTGCCGTTGGGACTTGAAGTACCTGAAACAAATCCATAACCTGTAATCTAATGCTTATTGAGTTCCCCAGAGCATACCACACACAATCCACATAACATA